ACGGTTTACACAAATGATGGCGGTTTTCATTTGATCACTCCTCTAGATAGATAGATAGATAGATCTAGAGAGAGAGAGAGAGAGTGGTGAGTATGAAACAAGTTCATACGTTATATATGATTGCATCAGGTTCATATGTATAACAGCTGCAATGAAACAGGTTCATAGAACATATTTTTCCCTGTTTTTCTCTTCCGTGTCTCCAATATAAATTCTTGTTTTTCTTTACTTATTTAGTTTGTTTCAATCTTGACATTTCATCAAAAAAAAAAAAAAAAATAGATGTGATTACTTTGTAAGGTTTGTATGAAATTGATGCTTTACAAAGTAAACCTCTTCCTATCTCTCTCTCTCTCTCTCTCTATATATATATATATATATATATATATATATAAATTTTTTTTTTTTTTGTTTTAGAAATAAAAGTAATTTTTATTAAATTTCGTACATGTAGAAAAGGAACTTAAAAAAACATGCATTGTGAAGTGATAACCATGACACCAACCACAATAATTGATTTTACAAAAATAAATTTTTAAAGAAAAATGGTTAATTACATTTTGTATCCCAATGGTTTCATAGAATTTACTAAAAAGGTCCCTACCCCTAGAAGTTCATGACTATCATGCTCAAAGCTTTTGTTTTTCCTACCAATCTAGTCCTTTAAAGATAATATATACTTAATATATTTATATAATGTATATGAGTTGGGTTCACATGAGACTAAGAGTTTTTTGTGAGATCCATAAGACCAATATATGTTCATTGATCAACTTTATAAGTTAATGATTTAATGGTCTAAAGTTGCGCGATGACAATTTTGTGATTATTGAGAAGTCTCGTGGCAATTTTATGATTATTGAGAAGTCTCGTGACAATTTTATGATTATTGAGAAGTCTCGTGGCAATTTTATGATTATGAATGTTCATATTGTAGACTAATCCAAAGGTTGAAAATTGGTCTTACGGATCTCATGAAAAACCCTTGGTCTCACTCACATGATCTCAAGTCTCTCTCTCTCTCTCTCTATATATATATATATATCCAAATGTTATTTTGAAAACTGGTAAATATATGAGAAGTAAAAAGAATTTATTCTAGTCTCTTCATACTGTCAAGATCAGATTTGACTGGTCAATAATTGCGACATTGACTGATCAATAATTACGGATATGACTGATAAAATATTGAGATTTATGCGAAAGATAGAAATGATAGTTTCGTAATTTTTACAAATAGACGATTAACGGATTCATATGTGAACTCGTGTAATTCGCATATGAACTATGTGTGTGTGTGTGTGTACACATTGTTGAATTATTTTATTATATGATTAAAACTGAAAAATATTCAATATTATGATCATTTGAACTTATTGACGAGACGATTAAAATGATGTATTTTACAAAAAAAAGTGTATTATATTAGGTATTTTAGTTAATATACGATTATGTGTATTAATATAAAAAAATGCAAATAAAAAGGGAAAAATCAAAAAAAAAAAACCCAACAAACTTTCTCATTCTGAATTATTAGGGCCCTATTTTTTTAAATAAATAAAACATCGAACTTTTACTAGTCGGTTAATGTACTTCTTTTGGGGTTAAAAGAATGTAGGTAACCAATTTTAAAAAATGTAATAGTTTATTTATCAAAAAAAAAAAAATCAGAAACTTAATCAATCAAAATAAGAAAGTTTAATGGTTTTTTATTCAAAAACAGAAAGTTTAATGATTTTTCATTTAAAAAAATAATTTACGTACTTAATCATTTAAAATGTGAATGATTTTTTCTTTCAAAAAAATAATAATTTAGAAACTAAACCATTCAAAATGAAAAAGTTTGTTGTGTTTTTTTTTTCAACTTTTACCAAATAAAAGTGAAAAAATAATATATATAAAATAAATTAAATAACTGATTATAAGGATGAAAAGTGTAATTCTTTTCCAGTTAAGTTGAATTTTTATTTATTTTCTAATGTAAAGATGGTTTTTTATTTATTTTTAGCCAAAAATCGAAAAATGACTATTTCGTTAATATACAAGATATATTTTGATGATTTTCTCTAAACCAAATAAATATATTTTTATTTTATATATTTTTATTTTTGTACAAATAAACAATTATATTTATTATTATTTTACATATTTTTTTGCTAAATACTGTCTAACTTTTTTCAGCTAAATAATATTTCGTACTTGATAATGATTTTTATTTGTTATCTAAAAAAAGTCAATTTTTATATGCTGAGTTAAATTTTAAAACACATACAGTACTTATATATGGTAAATATAACAAATAAATTCATACATTTTCCTCATCTTTTTGGTAAGGTTTGAACCCTTGACTTCTTAAGAGGCAAAAAACTTATATACCGTTAAATCAAAGACCCTTTTGGTAATTTGGAAAAATGGTTGAAGGCAATTATCCAACAAATTAAATAACTCAAGTCAAACCAGTAATCAAATTGAGTAAACCGATTAGCCCATCTTTATTATTGTTCTTTAGGGCTGTTCATTGGTTGACATCTATTGGATGTGAGGTGAACCTAACCGATCTAATAATTGATTGGATGTTGGATTACTATTTTGATGTGGTATCCAACTCAGTATTATTTGCTATTCAACCCAATTTCATCTCATCACTCCCCACATCAGCATGGTAATAAGTTAATGCTTTAATTAGTTATCCGGATACTTAAATGTTTAAAACTTTACATCATAAAAAAAGTAACGTACTTTAACTTGATTCCTATCTTGAGTAACGTACTTTCAAAGCTTCCATTTTGGTAACTAAGATGTAAAGTTTTAAACATTTAAGTACGTGGGTAACTGGTTGAAGCATTAAACGGTTACTATTCTGATGTGACGAGCGATGCGATATCCAACTCAGTATTATTTACTATAACCCAATTTAATCTCATCACTCGTCACATCAACATGGTAACTGATTAATGCTTTAACAGGTTATCAGAATACTTAAATGTTTAACACTTTATATCTTAGATATCAAAATGAAAGTTTTAGAATTACGTTACTCAAAATAAAAATTAAGTTAAAATACGTTATTTTTTCATACAATTAATTGATAATTGGCACGAATATCAAAGAAAAACTGAAAGTTGACCCTTTGTTAAATTTGGTCGTAGATAAACAAAGACGGTATCCAAACCCTAACCTCTATTGGTTGCATAAGAAGCACATCCAACGGACGAGAATCCAAACGGGCCCACAATTCGAATCCCAGAAAACGACGCGCGGAGCAGGTGCGTGGATTAAACCAAAAAAGGAAGGATAGAAGTGAAAGAAGGAAGAGGATGGTGCACGATGAATGATAATGATGATGATGATGGATGGATGAGACCAGACATTCAGGTGCTACTGCTCTTTTCTTCTTCTTCTTGTTTCTACGCTAAATTCACACCCTCCAAGATTACACTCCTGTTCCCTCTTTGCCCCCCCTCCATTTGCGATCATATTCTCCCATACTTTCTCTTCAAATCGATTTGTTTGAATCGATCCCAAGGTGTTAGTATTGATCGATGATGGAGGAAATGTACGGATTGATGAATTACCATGAGCAAGTTCCACCGCCAGATTCGGCCAGAGAGAACTACGGCCACCATGCTTTTGATGATCAGTCACCAGAGGTTGGCCATCATCGGAGAATTCGGCCAGTATTCGGATCAGGTTCCAATATTCAAACTAGTAGTAGCAATAATAATAACAATGGATTAGCTGAAGAACTAGATGAAGATTTGTCAAGTGAAAATCGAGCCAAAATCATGTCACATCCGCTTTATCCTAAGTTGCTCCAAGCTTACATCGCTTGCCAAAAGGTACGAGTATGTCATCTATGTGTGTATGTGTGTGAGAGAGAGAGAGTGAGAGTGAGAGTGAGAGAGAGAACTAGAACGTGTACGTATGTATCCCATTAGCTTTTCTGTTTTTTCAGTGCTTGATTCAGTTACAGTTGGATCTGCAATCGAAAAGGCGTAAAATGTGCGTAGCAGCTGGGTCATGTGCTTGTTATGTGTTTATGCGCTTGCAAGACGTAGATCATGATCATGATTTCAGTTTTGCATCAATTTTGAGAGCTCGTTTTGCTGCTTTAATTTGCATTTGAATTCTAGTGATATTTTCGAGCTGGTTAATTCTCGGATGATCTTCAAACATTTTAGTAGTAATTAAGAGTTAAAGTGGTGTTTAACAGTTCCGATTAGACAATTTATCGAACTTCCTGTTGGGGTTAAGATTCGTTGAAGAATCAAATACGTCCTTTGAAGTAGAAATCACTTGTTTTAAGCTCGTTCGTGTTTGATTCTTATCAGGTTGGGGCTCCGCCGGATATATCGAATCTCTTCGATGAAATTTTCAGAGATAATGATTTCTGTAGGAGATCCAGCGCCTGTTCTTGTCTGGGCGACGATCCAGAGCTTGACGAATTCATGGTTGGTTATATCGTTGCCACATCTGTGTGTGTTTATTATTTCTTCATGTGGCTGATTACTCCATTTTATGATTCTTTTGAAGGAAACTTACTGTGAGATGCTGGGTAAGTATAGATCGGATCTCGCAAGGCCTTTCGATGAAGCAACTACGTTTCTGAACAATATGCAAACTCAACTCACCAATCTCTGCAAGGGAACTTCTATAACCTACCACACAGGTCTCTCTCACTCTCTCTCTCTCTCTCTCTCTCTCTCTCCCCTTCATTCATGGATTCTCGTGCTATGTGTGGGTTTCATCATCTTTATGTCCCACCTTAATTTATTATTATTTTATCATGCATCTCACATACATACATATAAATAAATATATATATATATATGTATATATATATATATGTCCCATCGGAAAATTTTCGTTTTATATCATTTTCTGGGCGTCGGAAAGAGGGGGAGGGGGGGTGACGGAGGTCGGTGGTGCGGCGTTGGATTTATAACCTCCGGTGATGATATGACTGTAAACGCTTCCTTTTTTGGCGGGTTGCAGTGTTAATTGGGAACGAAGCACTCGCCGGATATTTTTATGCGGCGTCTTTTTGGATTCGGCAGTTACAACAAACTAGAAGAGGAATCGGGAAACCCTAGCTTAGGTGACCGTATCCCTTCCGACTTCCGGTCGAGTGCCCTTTACTGGGTTTCTCTTTTTAGGATATTCGTTACTGATCCCTGACCTTTCACTCATTTCCACATTCGAAGCCTGATCTGTGTTTATCTTTACAAATGAGTCCAAACGCCTTGAAATCCCAAACCGTTCCATGACATCCGTAAAGGGGTTGGTATACACACACATCTAAAATCATGCATTAAAAATGCATAAATAAGGATCTAATGTTGATAGATATGAATAAAAAAATTAACAGATTATGATGCATTTAATAAGTAGAAGATCTGCATTTATCATAACCTCTTAGCAAAATGCAAAAAGGGTCACTTGATCATATTATTTTCTTATTTATGTGTATACATATACTAGCACAAACATATCAATATTGCTTTCTTTAAACTGGTATTAAAGATTGATAAATTGTTATGGTAGTGTTTAGATGTCGATTTAATTAAAAGGTTGTTATTGATATATTTGCATAGATATAAGTGTAATATTAATACAAAAATAATTCAAATATAAAATTAAAAATATGAAATATTTCATGATGTTCACTTGTCTATTTTTCCCACACTTTGATTATTTATTTGGAGAAGTGTTAAACATAGGGTTGTAATGTGCATTGAACAGAATTAAAGTTCGACTTTGTTTATGCATGATCAGGGTTTAAGATAAAGTAAGACTTAATTGATTTTCGATTATGGTATTAAATTCAGTATATAGGGGATGAACGATTGCAGTGGTTTGGGCACGTTTGCAGGACGCCAATGACGACTCTGATGAAGAGGGTCAAAAGTTATGATGGTCGAGGGGTGAGAAGGAGAGGCAAGCCGAGGAGGACATAGGATGAGCAACTTAGGATGGGCATGATTGCTTTAGACATATCCGAAGATATAATAACTGATAGGAGATCTTGGAGATACAAGACTAGAATAGCTGACTAGGATGTAGGAACCTGTAGATTGTGTAAATGAGAAGGTGAGAGTTGGAGAGGTTGGTGATGGGACAATGTGAGGGTTTGTTAGTTGACAGAAAAAGAGAAATAACCGTTCTACTCTTTGTGTTATTTGTTATATATGCATACAGTTCATCCTTTCCGGACCCTATCTTCAACTGAGATATGTTGTCTCCGTTTTGTTCGGTTTGGTTTTTAGTTTAGGAACAATTAAAACCGCAGGATCATAATGTCAAAAAGGCTTTCTTTGGACTTCTCTAAATGTATGAGAATTTTAAAGGCTACTAAAAGTCATGAATTAAGAAAAATGCAGATGTATATTTTATATAGTGAATTAACAAAGTATGTTAACGAACAATGTAAAATTTCACTTCCTGCATATGATGTCCAAATTCTTTAGCAAATAGAAGAACCGATAACAATATGGTTGTAGCCACTTGTTTTAATCCTCTACTCCTATATATTGGTCTGTATTTACCAAATTTTTGATAGAGGTATTGTTAAACCTGTAATCCTTTTAATTTATACCAAGCTTAGCCGAGATCAATTTTGGGTGCAGTTAGGGTTTACTAAATGGAGGGTCTGTTTGTTAGCAACTTAATGAACTCCCAATTTATTCGGTCAATTATACATGGTTGTTTGGTAGTTGTTTAATGATATAGAAAACGACTTATTCAGTAAATCTTCATGGGGGTTTGTTTATGCAAAAAACTAAGTTTTTTCAAACTTGCCCCTCCCAATTAAAAAACACTCATTCCATTTACGAAAAATCTCTCTTAAACAAAAACCTTCCTAATCCATACAAACAGATTAACTCATAGAAAACTTTATCCATACAAGATTTAATGAAAAACCAACCGAACAACTCCTGAGTTAGGACTAGCTAGGTATGCTCAATTTCTGTCTTAATCAAGGCTTTAGATGGCGCAAGTCTATTGTGACAGTGAGGTTGACCTTAAGTCTAAGAGAGCCATGATGAGGCATGACGACATATTTGTATAAATACACACATACATATGTTTTTTTTCTTTCTATTATTACCTTTTATAAGAGCATATTCATGTAACTTATATACCAAACTTTTAAAATACTAAAAGTTAAAAAAAATATGAAATAATGTCTTGCAAAAAAGGTACATTGAACCATGATGTGCCACAAGTGTAATGTGGTGTAGATGACAAGCTTTACTCCCTGCCTTTTAGAACACTGGACTTAATACATCTACTATATTATTGATATTGCAGGCTTGGCATTGCAAAAAACTTAAGTCCATTTTTTGAGTCAGTTTGTATAAACATTTATAGAAAAGTATTAGTGTTATTATTTCACCACAACAATGTAGATTTAAAAATTACTATAAACAAACTTTGTATTGTAATATACTAATATAGAAGGGATCAAAAGAGAAACCAATCAACTCTTAAAAATACGATCAGAACATATGTGATATCAACATGCATGTAGGACACGAACAACCAGTCAATGTGACCAAGGTTGCATGAAACTCGCCTTTAGTGGCTCGTCAACATGACCATTCTGCATGGTTTTTCCATAAGTTAACCGTCTTCGCATTTGAACCCATCTCATAAAATATTATATATATTATATATATATATATATTATATATATATATATATATATATATATACATTCACACACTATTTTATTTAAGTATATCAGAACATGCATCATATTGCAGCCACTTATAGCCTTGCATCAACTAGATAAATATGATCAGTATGGCTTATCTAAATGGTTATGACTTTTTTCATATACTCATTTTCAAATGTCATGTAATTAGCGAACTATCAATAATATGTCAATGGACAAACATTATAAAGTTTTCCCTTCTATGAACTTCATATAAATTGCATATAAGCCTAGCCCTCAAAAACCTTACTGGTTTTTGGTTAAAGATGTTTAAAACAATCTATTTATTCTTAATAATCACATGTTTTGCATGCTCAATAAGTTATAGGTTTTTAAGTTATATCGTCTTCTTGGTATATATTCATCCCTTTAAGATTTTGGTTTCATACTATTTCAGGTGTTGTTAAACAAACCTAAAGTCCCATTAAAGTAATAGAAATGTAAAGAAGAGTTTGAATTTCACAAAAAAAGAAAAAGAATTTTAATAAAGAGTTTGTGGTATTTTGGTTACCACTAAATCCAAACCTTCGATTACGTCTAAGGTTTAAACTTTATCAAGATAGGAGTGTATATACATATTTGTCATATATAAATATTTGGGGGGTGTTCGTGTATACCTTCTTTTCATTCACATACCACATAAATATGTATACACCATGAATACATCGAAGGTCCTTATAAGAACCAATTTTTTGTCATTTTTCTTGTCACACCATTCCAAACTTACCAAATTAAGAGGTTATATAAAACTCCACAATGATAGTTCTTATAAGAACTTATTTTATGGATTCAATGAATAATTTAAGTTAACGAAATGTATACATATTAATAACTATATAGGGTATAAAAGTCAAGAAAATACATAAAATAAAATAATAAAATATCATTTCACACCAAATTCAAGATAATAACCAATAGTAGCTCTTATAAGAAGTCTCTCTTTAATAATTTTTATAAGAACATTCAACCATTAAAAAAGACATGCTAACAAACACCCCTTTAAAATTTGATGATATTTTTGTATGAGTACAAAATTGATAGAGAATTCAATTTTATTGTCTCACCTATCATTTATTGTCTAAGCTCGTAGCATCGAATGATGGCATTTCCGTAGCGTACCATTTGTGATTTGTTGCACTCTTTTTTACTTCAGACAAGATATTTATATGATAGAAACCTTGAGGAAATGAGTTGTCATGTCAACCGCAGTTGAATCCTCAAGTATGATACATCTACATAAATTTAATAAACATTAATACTATAAATGTTTAAATTACTGCACGTATTAACAATTTTATTTTCTAAAATTTCAGAAAGAACAGGTTTTTCGGTCGGGCCACATTTTCTTTCATGATTGTGTATTTGTATTGTTTCAAAATTGCATGGGAAGGATAATTAAGACATGAAACTCAGAACCCTATGCAATATTGTAGTCTAATCATAGAAAAGGTGATAAATCTCATCAACCTACACTTCTGAAACTAAAAGATTCGATTTTAATTTGTATATACAAAAGCAAAATCTTTTCATGTTTCCTCGTCAAAAAGAAAAAAAAAAACTGTTGATACCTTAAGAATCATGTTGGTTTCGCCAATATCTTGTCCTCTCTGGACAGCTTTCTTTTTGCCATTCCCTTGTATGATATCCTGAGAATATATCTCATGTGCATCTTATTATAATCCTCAGATGTTCTATCTCTTTTTGCTGATGATCATAAATTCAAACATAGAAAATGTATAAAAACTGATGCCATTAGGTCTTGAGATCATTGTTGAATTTCATATCGGCTAGATTTGAACCATTTCTCCTCCATATATGTTGGAACTTCTCTTCTCTTTTCAAGGATCTTTTGGGAGAGTAACATAACGAGATTAATCTACATATTCTCACATGACATTAGAGGCAAGATCTACCACTATCTCGGGACTCGTAACTCTAAGACAAGCTTTTCC